ATCCTAAATAATGCACAAGGACAAGCAACCAGATACTGCCTTTGAGGGTGCTTCCTTTTTTGTTTAATGATATTCAACATATTTACCCTTAACCTAGTCTGCTACAGTGGCAGTCCTCAGGAGACCAGTATAGGAAATTATAATGAAGTGTGGCAATGTGGTGGACTTTGTTTTTTCTCAGCATCTAGATTTATTTTATTTTTGATAACAACTTAGAAAATGGACTGTTGTGTTGCCCATATCTTGCTCAAAGCAAGAGCTTTTTGTTAAGTCAACAATTGCTAAATATTACACTGATAATCCCATAATCTCTTGCTGAAACCTACGGGTGAACTTCATGGACCATTTTTCAAAGAGGGATTTACATGTAATTGTTGTCTAATGCTGTCTTTGGACCAGACATCTTTTTTTTTTACAAAACTGGGCATATCCTGAAGAAAGTATTTTTGCTAAAAATGTACTGCTTTATAAGTGTTTATTCCTGTACATTTTATGAAAATGCAGTGTTTGTTTCTTTTTCAAATGATCTGTTTTTAAAATTAACACCAAACTGAACACACTGAACACTGTTGACACTGTCCACCAAAACCTGCAAAGACGATATGAACAGTGACATTTACTGAGAATTTCAGTGTTCAGCAGGATACTCAACTTTAGGATTTGAGTCAGCAGCTTGCTCAGAGTCCGTTCTGATGAGATGTATCCCTGTAACATGATCATACTACTACCATAGATTTGACAGATAAGATGGCGCTGTCAAGGTGCTGTGCTGAGGTAGGTTTGCATCACATGTAACTTTTTGCAACAAAGCCAGAAAGTTGAATTTTTGTCTCATTATACCATATAACCTTATGGCAAATATCTATCCTATGAGATGTTCTGTACTTAAAATGAGTCCTTTTAAGCAGTTATAAGAAATAAATAAGCTTTATATCTATCTACTCACCTAAATAGGCCTCTGGACCTGATATGTGGATTGCTGATGTGTGAACAGTGACTCCTATTTCAGACATAGAACTTTTTTTGAACAATAATTTTTCTTTTATTTACTAAACCCCAACCCTAAGGAGGAGAAAACACAAAAGAAAATCTAGAATTATACATACACATCAGAAATACACAATGTACAGTACATTACAGCATTCTAGTCAAAACAAAGGAGAAAAAAAAAGACAGAACAGAAGCATACTAAGACAAGGAACATAAGACATCACATCACCTGAGCTACTTTTTCAAAAGCAGTGTCAGAAGATGCCTGTTAGAGTGATAGAGGTTGAGCATCTCAGACATAAAACTTTGCAAATCTTCAAAATTTACACCAAAAACTGCTTGGAAACTGGAACTGTTAATTACAAATTTTAGCTTCACAGAGGCGTCCCAGAACGGTTTCACAGTCGGTTTGGAAGGACAGCCTAGATAGTGTCTAAGTGGGATAATGCACATTCTACTTCACAAAAAAATGACTTCACTATATTCAAAGGGATAAGTAACCTGATCAGTGGTTCTCTAACATTTTAGTGGATCTGGGGAGAATCTGCCGTATTATGTGGAAGTGGACAGCACAGCAAGTGATAATCATTCAACATTAGAGGTCTCAGACCCATTTACAAAGAGATGGAATAACTACAAAATAGTAGAATTGTATAATTTCAAAACTATATTTTACGCATTCTTTTTAAAATTATTTCATATACTGCATATGCACAGATAAATAATATGGATATGCCGGTTTAGGTATTTTAGAACTACTAAATGCTTTAGTATAACTACTGTATTTAAATTATAAAAAAGAATGGCTACAATAGGTGCCTGGTAAATGCCTTAAAATGATGTACTGTATGTAAATATGCTCTGGTTCTGCACTTACAAAAACATGCATATAATTTAACAGATAGTTGCCTTTTGCATTTACTGAACTATTTTAAGAAATGGTTAAATGTAGATGTTAAAAAAGAGTAATGTAATGATCTGTTTCTGTAGTCTGCTCAGGTATTAGTTAGATTAACATCTGAAAACCTGAAATTTTCCATCTGTAACCCTCTGTCTAGGATATTTGCCCTTCACAACTCCATCTTGCTGCACAAGAAAAAGTACATTTCTTTCTCAACTAAAGGCAATGCTGTTATTAAAAGTTATACTTGCACAGCAATGACATCTAGTGTTTGATGGAAGACAGAGATGTTTCTTAACAGTTCTGAGATATTGTAAGTAGCTCTCTTTTTTTAACCTTAATGCTTTCTCTACTACTTTAGTGCAGTTTCTCTTTGCTAGCTACTTTCAAACTCAATTACTCTTCTCAGATAACCCTTGTCCAGCAGGGGATACATTTTCAGATTTTGATTCTATTGAAAATGTCAATTAAAAGGTAGGCCACTTTTGGCTGTGAAACAGCTTGCTGGGGAAACCTGCATCAGGTACTACTATTTACCAGTACCCTTTAAGTAAAGAAGAGTTTCCGATTCTCTGTCCTAAATTTATTCCTCTGAAGTTTTCAGATGATACCTTGTTCTGTCCTTTTTTTATTACTGAGTGTGAAATGGTCCCCTGGGTTTAACCTGTCTATAGACTTTAAGATTTTATATACTTAGATTAAATCTTGTCTGGCACAAAATGGTTAGCATTGATGCCTTGTAGCGCTAGGGCCCTGAATTTCAATTCCTGACCTGGGGTGCTATCTGTGTGGAGTTTGTAAGTTCTCCCTGTGTTTGTGTGGGTTTCCTGCAAGTGCTCTGGTTTCTTCCCTTGGTCCAAAGACATACAGGTAGGATAATAGGTAAATTTACAGGGGTATTTTTAAACTCACTTTCCTCCACGGCAAAACTTTGCTTCCAATAAATAAAAGTAAATGTAAATATTGAGCTTCAAAATGTGTTATGACAGATGACAGATAGATGCAGGTCAGATAAATTAAACAATTATTTTACTTTAACCCAATTTTAAAAAAAGTACAGCCTTGTACATGTTGTTTGTTACCCTGAGGGGGGTAAACTGCTGACTGAACCAGGCAGTCAGCAGTTTACAGTTTCTGGATGCAGAATGGTCCTAGAAATTCCTTATTTACTCACTGTGCACCAGCAGTCCTTGTCCTGATAATGTTTCACAGAAGGTCCCAGTGTTTTAGTGGACCCTGTGAAAACTCTAGGAAACTCCCTGCAAAGAAGCTCTACACATGTGAGGAGACCAGAAAGGAGACCAGATTTGTGGGCTCTGCTTCACTGTACATTTCCTGTTAAACCTACTTCCCACTTCATAAACACAGCTGAGATGCCAGGAATAGAAGCAATCCTGGAGATAAGGAATATTGATCTTATGCAAAAGTATTACTAACCTTGCGTACACCAGGGGACTATAGCACAGTCGTTACTCATTTTTGTCAATGCCATACATTATTGTAGAAAAAACTTTAAATATACGTCAACTTAGGTCACGTCTATGCACAAACTAATAATGGGGTAATAATATTGTTTTCAATATTGTAAGGGGTTGAAAGAAGCTAGGTGGTAAAAGCTGACATATTTTATTTGGTGTTATGAAAAGAGCAGGATATTTGTTCTCAAAACTTCGAACAGGCACAAAATTGCAGCTTGTGGATTAGTCTGGATTGCTGAGGATGAGACAGGCCTCAGAGGCTCAGCCTAAAGTCACCATGTACAGCTGTACGTTTGTTGGAAATTTTGTTTTAAAAAAATTTACAACAATATATTTGGTTTTGGTAAGCCATTGGAAATGTCTTCATAGACAAGCTCACTCCTTGATACCTGCTATTGTAGGCACAGGAAGGTGTAATTTCATTGTCAGAATAAGGACAACATTACTAGAAATATAACTTGCTATTAAAGTGATGTCAGTTGGTTTTTCCACTATCCCCTCTAGACTATATATTGCAAGAATGTCTTTAAGGCAGGGATCAGGCATCATCTACACTCATGTAAAATGTATCTCAACCATGATATTGCATTAAGTAATTTGTAAGTCTGAGAGGTGAATGGATGCAATGCCATTTCTTAGAGTCTGCAAGAGCTCTCTCAAGTCCAAGGTCAGTGCAAGCAATATTTAACATCTACTTTACCTCAGACAGCCTAATGTTTAATCACATACAGCAATGACTCAGAACCCATCTTGGCAATCAGATCTTTATTTACATTTCTTCATTCTTTACTTGCATCACAAGTTATCCAGTATTGTTTGGATTGTTTGGCCTGTAATTCTAAGAAGGGTTAACTCCTTCAGGAGTAATTTTAAATTTCTTCAGTAAAGCTCCCTTTACTGAACAGTCAAGGGACAATAAATCAATAGGAGGGTTGATGGTGCAGGAATCTACTATAATAAATGACTAATACTAAAGAATTCTAAGAATTATAAAAATCATCAACAGAATTTTTGTTTTTCCTTTTTTAATGATAGCCATCTGATTGTTTGTAAAATTGTAAATTTTGTGCAGTGCAGACCTTGGTACAGAATTGCATAATAGTGGCTTTTACTGTTTTACACATTTTTGTGCTTTATGTATCACTTGAAACAGCTTAAAATCAACAAAGAATATCACTCATGTTTAGCCTTCAGATAATACTGGAAATAGCATCACATGTACCAAGACTGAAAGGCAGACTTTTAGTCAGAATGAGTGTCTGTATTTTACAGACATCCAGCCCTTAACCCCAACTGCTCCAGGGGCGCCATTTAAATGGCTGACCCTGCGCTCTGACCTCAGGCTTCTCTCCCTGTCTGTGAGTTTCATGGAGAGAGCAAACTGAGGTAAACGAAAAGACAAATTCCTAATACAAAAAATTGTACAGTATATGGCCAATAAAGTGATCTCATCTCATCTCTTAACAGTGGTATTAAATCAACCACTCGCAATACTGCTGAGTTATTGTTTAGTTTGCAGCTACAAGTGTAAAATGAGGACATGCATCTTAGACATGCTAAGTAATGTGATGCATTCATCTCTCATCGTTTGTGTCCCAGTAAAATAAAAGAAAATAACACGCCGTACTCACATAGGAAACCTGTACTCTCCGCCGGTGTCCCAGTCCACAGCAATGCATCAAGAGGGCAAGAAAGTGAAATCGGACTGCAGCTTCACAGAACTAGAGTCTGTTTTGCAGCGTCCTCTAAACCACTGTCCATGCCTTCACACCTTTCAGTCAAAGGGTGAAGGAGAAAAATGTAAAAAATAAGAAAAAGACGTGTCCTCAAATCGCCTTGGTTCAGAGGATATTTTTCACTTGTTGTCTAGACAGATGAACCCTTCCGTGGAGAAGCAGGTAGCCTCCTGTGTCCCGAGACAATTGTGCCAATGCAAACCAACAATGTACGCCAGCACAAAGCATCATTTTAATCTCTTCAGTAACATCCTGCCCCTGATCTGTGTGATTCTTCATGTGCACCCATTTATCTGTTTTGTCTCTTTAACACCTTCTGCCACGATCTAAAATTGATGCACAACAGAAAATGTCATTTGTGATTCCTGCAAACCGTTTCCCCAGACACTAGAAAGTCTCGCTCTGGCACTGCTACTACAGACCTTTACACAAGTACACAAACCAGCCTCCTGGATTCAATGGTTTTTGATCACCATATTGACAGAATGTCTCATTTATCCTTATTTTCCTGTCCCTTGAGACAATGCAGCTCTTACTTCAATTCACTATGATTCCTTGCAAAAGAGTCACCCGCTTTGTTTTAGGTGGCTGTACGTGTCTCACTTCTCCTCCTGGCAGCACAGCTCAGAGCATCCTTATTACCTGAATCACTTTGCTTGCAGAAAACTGCAGCCACGCATTCCTCTTCCTTCATTATTGTCACAGCCCTGCATACCAGAACAGGTAGCCAGCAGCACAGAAGATACACAGCTAGAATTTCAATGTGCCTCTAGCTGCACATGCTTGTTATGAACCCCACTGTGAAGAGCAAGGAGTGGCTAATGTCATTTTCAGACCTGTAATAGACACTAAAATGGAGTGATAAATCAATTTATTTAATTAAAAAAACCCTAAAGATCATTTTTAGGTTATATATAGTTTAAATCAAGTAGCAAAATACCCTTAATTAATGGAATTCCAATATGTGTGAAAAGTTTAAACATGGGAATACACACTATGCTTATGTATTCAAAAGAGGTTAAAGCTCAAATCAATATGCTATTAAATGGACTATGGCATATATTAATCAACCTAATACAGCTGTTGAACCCCATAAATGAACAACTGAATTCTACAGTATTTTCAATCAATATCTGGTAAAGTATAAATGAAAATTAGAATGTTAAATAAAAATTGAGTACTGTATGTGTTTTTGTTAATGTGAATAATAAGTCACACAGTAATATGTAGTTTAAACAAAATCTTAAAAGCAGTCATCAATAATTTATGAGAGCATATTATACTATTACAATATACAGGAAACAGCGGTATGTTAAAGAGATGACAATATGCTACATTACACTACAATATTTCTTGGTTTCTCTGTACAAAAATATTTAAAATATTTATTAAAAGAAAATATGTTTCACTAATGGGACATTACAATATACAGAGTGTTTTTCTTAAATTAGCACTTTAAAAATTGAGTGACAAAGACCCTTATTATTCTTTGCAAATATTAACTGAACAAGTCATTACAGCTATTCATGATGTAAATAAACATATACTGTAGCATATACTGGGGAAACTATTCTGATGTTTTCATGCAATATTAAAAACTTATTTTTCTTAAATTTTGGAGGCATTCCTTACTGAAAACCATTGTCTTATTCTGTGTCACACGCTAAAACACAACCCCAAGATGCAAGGTTCAGAAGTAAAATTTAAGTCGTTAACAGACAAATGCCTATGAAAAGTGATAAATTGGTCCACTTAAACTAATGATTAGTTCTGTAAGGCCATAAAGATCAAACGAGAAACAAACTGCTCCGCTCCATGACTAGAGCTATGCATACAGTATGTGCTTTCAATTTTAATGTTCAAATCCTGTCCTTTCTAAAGACATTTTAAAACCACCTTCATCAAGCAGATAATGGATATGTTATATACTTTGATCAACTGAGCAAATTTTACAGAAGTAAAGAATTTCCCAGAGATGTTGAATTCTTTCTCCCACAGTGCATATGATGGCTCCAATTTCAATTTGCTGTTTACTTTGCTATGTTCTACTGACGTCTGCATTCACTTGCACACCAATTAACACAATCCATGTTGTGATGGGGAAAACAAAAAGCAGATCAGGAATGAGTACAGATGCATTATCCACGTGAATACACATCACAACTGAATGCGTATGAAGGTGTGGCCTTCTACATTCTTTGAGCTAGTGTATTAGAAATTGTTCTAAAGATTTCCTCTACAGATACAGTATTTCCATGGTAAGCTACATATTCTTCCGATGCAGTCATTAAGAACAATACGAATTTGGTCTTGGTTTTTGTTCAAGTAACAAATCATCATGTTGAAAACAGGAGCTGTTTCACTACAGTGCTTTCCTGTGACAGAGGACTGACGTCATTTCACAGAGTTAGAAACCCAGCTAAATAAATACAAGTGCTGTAGCTTCCCCAGACTCTGGAAGAAAATTCTCTTATAAGAAATAAAAAATGTGCCGTCCTCAAATAAATACAGTTCTGACAGCAGATATTTTGAATGCAATTTCTTTCTATTTCAGGATTCTTTGATGACTTTATCCTTTATTAATTTATCAACTTGAGATCTAAATGTCAGATATTTCTAAACAATCCCCATAGTTGACCATATAGGAGATGTTTTAATATATTTGGAGATTTTGGGTGATTTTTACCATTATATTTATTATACATTACCTCCCAACAGATGTCCCGAGACAATTTATACACTTAAGAAAAAAAACATGAACTGAGGAAGATACAAAATTACACTTGATTTTGATTTTTACATGTATGTAAGAAAACATAAAATGTATAATACCTAGTCCTGCTTCCTCAACAATTCAATGTCTAAGCACTTTCATGTACAGTATGTCCTTTGCTTAACCAATGTCAGTTTTATAATTATATACACTGTTGACATTGAGTGTATTATATTCTGAAATGATTCAATGTACTGCACACTCCAAAGATGCAGAACAATTTTCTAAATCCCCTTGGCTATGAAGGCTGAAGCTGGAATGGTAGAGTAGCATTCCTGTAGCATCCAGAAAAAATACAGTTTTATGTGTGAACTATATTTTGTGAACTGCTGTTCACATTGATGACTCATGACTGTACTGCCAAGCACAGTTCAAACTGCATCATCAAGAGTGCCGATGACACGACAGTGGTGGGCCTCATTAGCAACAACGATGAGGCACCATACAGAGAGGAGGTGGAGCAACTCGTGGACTGGTGCGCAAATTTAATTTTAATGTAAACAAAACAAAAGAGATAATCATTGACTTCAGTAGGGCCCACGTTGATCACTCCACACTGTACATCAACGGCTCCCCTTTGGAGACAGTTTGAAGCACCACGTTTCTTGGTGTACGCATTACAGATGACCTCACTTGGTCTCTCAATACCACCTCCCTAGCCAAGAAAGCACAGCAGCGTCTCTATTTCCTCCGGGCGACTAAGGAGGGCAACCTTACCCCTGCCTATTCTTACCACGTTCTACAGAAGCACCATTGAGAGCACCTGGATCAGCTGTGTCACTGTTTGGTTTGGGAATTGTAATGCTTCAGACCGCAAGATCCTACAACAAATTGTGGGAACAGCTGAAAAGATTATTGGAGCCTCCCTCCCTTCCATTTTTGTCACAAAAAAATCACAAACGTTGCTTACACAAGACCTCCAGTACAGCAGATGAACCCTCCCATAAACTCTTTGCCCTCCTACGATCTGGGAAAAGATATCACAGGGCAAGTGCAAGCCAATCATACATGGGGACAATTTGGAGGCCATGGTAAAGGTCGGGGGGGAAATTTGGCCTGGACACCGGGGTAACTCCCTACTCTTATCGAGAAATGCCCGGGGATCTTTAATGACCACTGAGAGTCAGGAGCTCAGTTTAACGCCTCATCCGAAAGACAGCGCCCACTACAGTATAGTGTCCCGGCCACTATACTGAATCATTAGGACCCACACAGACCGCAGGGTGGGTGTCCCCCACTGGTCCACTAACACCACTTCCAGCAGCAACCATAGCTTCCCAGGAGGTCTCCCATCCAGGTACTGACCAGGCTCATCACTGCTGAGCTTCAGTGGGTAGCCAGCTGAGAGCTGCAGGGTGATATGGCTGCTGGTGTAAATATTAATGTATTTTACAATTTCCATTTATAGTATCTGATCTCAAAAGCACAGTCAAGCATTTGGATAGCTCTGTTGCTTTACAGCTCCAGGGTTTAGGATTTGAGTCTGGGTCTATGTGGAGTTTGCAAACTGCCCCAATGTTTACATCATTTTTTTTCTGAGTACTTCTGGTTTCTTCTTGTGGTCCTGGTTAATTAGAGTCTCTCAAATGATGTGAGTTAATTTGTGTGTTCCCTGCAACAGACTGGCATCGCATCCAGGACACCTTGTTCTATGCCTAATTCTTTAGGCTACATTTCACACAATGCCCCTCTTAGGATAAAGATACAACCTTTGTGCTGTTTTATGATAAACCCAAATTCTGGGAAGTGTATTTTTCCTATAGTAACAGTAGGCTTTCCAGCTCTCAACTAAAGTTTATTCTGTGAAAATGCCATTGTACACAGCATACCATTTGGATAATCTAACACAAACCAAGAAAAGAAAAACAGTCAGGAGGCAGAATGTACTAAGACCAAGTATCTCGATGAGGAATGTTAATAATTTAAAATGATCTTTCCATAACCTCAGTTGTGGTTAATGAGTTCCAATGCGACATTCTTTTATGAACTAAACACAGTAAACATCAAATGAACTAAATTCTAATGTAGCATACTGGCACAACAATGCTATAATTTTTTAAACAAAGTCATTTTGAAAAAGTTCCTTTATTGAGTGGAAAAACAGATTTTAGACAGGCAGACAAAATGTTTCTGTCAAATTCAGAATTCATGAGCTAGTAGGTTGGGAGCTTTGGCATAACATTTTATGGATTACAATTGGTCTGGGTATGACTGCCTCTGGATCTTAATCGCTAGTCTTAAATAATCCTCGCATTTACAGGAATATTTGGTCCACTTAAAAAAATACAGCGCCTTGAAAAAGTATTCATACCCTTTAAAAGTTTTCAAATGTTGCTGGATTACAGATGATACTAACACAACTTTTTTCAATCAGTATTTTTATTTAAAAATTAACATGCTCAAACAGAAAATTTTAAAACATAAAATTAGTTTTTTGTCAGAAGATATCTTAAAGTGAAAAAGTGAAATATGCTGCTTGCATAACTATTTAGATCCCTACGGTCTGGTATCACTACATTTACGCAGGTGAAAGGAATTGGCCTACCAAGGATATAATTGCCTTATCATTGGGCTCTGCCGGTTGACCATTACAGTAACTGTCACATTTACTGGATAAAAAAACAAGTCTGTTTAGGGATCATTGGTCAGCCAGTGAATCTGCAGGAAAGATATGAAAATGAAGACTAAAGATATTTGTAAGGAAATTAAGAGAGAGACTGTTTAAAAGTGCACAGAATAGGAAAATGGTGCAAAAATAAGTTTTTCGATATCTCAGTAAACACTAATGGTTCAATAATCAAGAAGTGGAAGACACATCATACCACCCTGCCCAGAAAAGGTCCTTCCTCAAAACTCATCTGAACCAAAAGGAGACTTGTGAGGGAAGCCTCACAAAAGA